GCAATAAACGGCCGACGACGCCGGGAAACCGCTCCGGACGCTGTTGGCGATCAGCGCGCCGTCCGTCCGGTTGCGCCGCGTGCGGCGTGTACGCGCGGGTCGAAAGACAAAACTTCCATAACGACACGGCGGGCGGCGGACAGTAAGACGGACACGAGCCGTTCGCGGTTCGTACACATAGGTTAGGTGACCCGTTTTAGGCATTATTAAATTCAACAGACCCCCCCCCCGTAATCGAGAACAACGGTTCGGAGTGTCGGATAGATTACGAAACAATTAGAAAACAAATAGAAAATAATTACGATACGGCGTCACAAGACATTGAACGGAAGCTCGAAAAAAAAAAATTGCCGTTGAAGAACTACACACTATAAACAAGAATCTGCAAATCGCTGAAAATAGTTCAATTCGAAATAAGTAAAAACGACGTCCTAGGATAATGGAGACGGGCGCAGCTGCTGTTATTGGTGATTTAATGTACAAGCAACGATCGCTAACGGAAAAACGGATTCTGAGCGCGGTTCAGTTGATAGCGATGCTTTGTCAACAATATACGTGTCATATTATGGCGAAACTATTAAATAGGCATTGTATGTTTTCTTTAATAATATTTGTTTGATATTGTATCGATTTTCCCGTTTTTCCCCCGGTTTTTCACAATTTCTGGGAAGACTTTAAAAAAAATCGAAAAATGACCTTCCTAAAGTACCTTCCCAGTCAGATTTAATTTCAGAAAAAGTGCTTACATTTTAAATCGAAGCTAATCTGCTAGTAGAAATATTTAAAGGATAAAAAAAAGGCCGACATATTTTTTTACTAATATCTAAATTTCGTACAGTTTTTGTTTTTCCGACATTTCATCCCGTTTTTTCCTAGGTAAGTTACCATGGAGATAAAATCACCTTTCAGAAAATAAGTTACACTTGATTCGTCGGAGTAATATTTCTGGTAGAAAAGTTTGCACGACAAATCGAGAAGAATTTTTAGGGATTAAAATAGTCCGAGTGAGCGATGTCTTGGGTCTCTGACTACATCCAAAATGCTTTTGTTTTTAAGTAAAAGGGGGGAAAAAACCGAAAATTGTTGTTATTATTCCTGTATAAAAAAAAAATTACTACATTAAATTCGAATTTTCTTTATTCGACCACAAAGTAAAACTCGTAATGAACCTTCTGAAACGAACAACCGCCGCAGGTACTATCGGCCAAATATATCGGCCGACGTCTGACAGAAATTATCGGATGGCCGACGTCCGCGCAACTGTGACCATAGCATTACTATAGGACACGTGCCGTTACCTGTAATACTCGACGTGGTTTCGCACCACGATTCGAGGGCATTGTTAGTCATTCGATTAAAATTGTCCGCGCGAGAGCGCCGCGAGCGAGCGTCCCGCGTTCGGTATCCCGTTCCCGCGGCTGTGTACGTGTAAAACGCTATTTCACTTTTCCCCGCGGCAGTTTTACCTATCCGACGTGGTTTTTTTTTTTTTTTATTTCGAAAACACAATGTTTATACCGTGTGTATATTTTTCAGCGTTCCGAAAAATAAAAAACCATCCGAAATTCCCCGGGGGTGCTCAACTAGACCTTGCAGATTTTCGATAATTTATTTTTACACGATCGTTGTTAAAACGTTGATTCGCAATTATAAGTTGTACAAAAACAAAAACCGAAAAATTCGGTTAAAAGTGCCGTAAACGCATATGCGTTATGCGCGTGCAACAAATTGAACGTCCTCGTATAATTTCGAAAGCATTACAAACAAACTCGAATTCCGCGTTTTACCTATCCGACGTGGTTTTTTTTTTTTTTTTTTTTTAAAAACGCCGTTTAACAGTTACGCGATTTTCCATAAATACAATTTCGAAGTGGCGCCAAACACAATTTGTTCCGAAACGCGTTGTGTGACGTTTTTAACCAAAATAACGTAAAACGAAAAATTCATAAAACTCTTGAAAACAAAAAAAAAAAAAACGTAAAACGAATTTTTTTTTTTTTTTTGGTTTTCAAATCCGTGCCCCGCGCGAAGTAATAATATCAACGTAAATGAAACCGATTACTGCGATTTCAACGCGCCGGATGAATTTGTAATCCAAGTTTTTTCAAATATTCTACTCGGCTGTTCCCGACAAATACGCGAGTTCTTGCGAATACACATGTTTCACTCTGCAGTTCTATAGAAGTGCATCAATATTACTCATATTGCGTTACACACTGTACGGTATGAGCCGCATAAAAAACACGGCTACCATCTATGTAGGTTCGTATACAACACGATTTATTATTATTTTATCCCGTTATTCCGCCGCTTACACGGCTTCCTGAGGCGCCGTTGCGCGCAGTTAGTACTTCAGACAATACAACGACGTTCTATTTTTATTTTCCTCTTCACAGGCCGTATATTCCGCTGCGTATACATCCACGTACAATATTTCAAAAAAAAAAAGAAAAAAAAAAAAAATGTCCATAATATTAGTGCGTCAGCGACATACCAACAGTAATACAAACACGTATTCGTCGCGTTCGAATATCACATAATTTTTCAGTGACAGACGCTCGTCGACCGACGGTTAATTGCACAATTATGCACGAATTAACGAATAATGCATAATCTGTTCATTCGTTTTCGATAATATTTACATCGAGCAGGCAATTCGATTAAAATACGGGTAAAGCGTCTCCGCGAAATTGTCGTATTGTTCACGCCGGTTATTTTGGTACAAACGCGGCGTTTTCTGTCGCCCGCGGCGTAGCCGTGAGGTGTTCCCGTAGGACAATGCGATGCGTAACATGCGCCGTATGCCCTCAAAGTTTCTGTCGACGAATCACGGGTATACTGCGTACGCCTCTTAAACGGTTTAAAAAAAAAAAAAAAAAAAAAAAACAACAACCCTCCGCGATGCATTATCGTCGTGAGCCGTTGCCAATCACTTGCGTCACCAACACCGGAATAGTAATAAAAGTCGTGTTTTATTTCGGTAACTATTAATGAGTAACTGAAAACGTCGCAACAGTTTTCTCGCGGCACCAATTGTACAATAGCATTTTTATTTTTATAACTCACCCGCGTTTCGTCGTTTACGTGATTCTAATTTGGTATTTCGTATAGTCCGACGTCTGTCGGTTGCCCCGTGTAAACAACACAATTCACGAGAAAGACGCATACAACAATTTAGGCGGTACAGTACTCTATCTACTGTCGAAAAGACCGACGGGAACGCCGCTGAGCCCGTCCTGATTTGAAACGATGTAAAATTGGGAGTTTGTGTTTTTATCATACACCGGCGTTCGTCCGCGAAAACGTGGCGTGTTACATCGTCGCCCGTACAGCCGCTACTCCGGTGTAACACGACGACGATTGATTTCGGATTCGACGGCCCGTCGGCGCATCGATTAATATTTCGCGCTACGTTATTCGTTTATGCGTTGCGACACGCGACCGTATTTTATTGTCATCATCATCATCTCGTATTTGTCGTTACGCATCGATTCCTATGTTATACGAATAAATAATGATGAAAAAAACACTGCGACGCTCGCTCCCCCCGCCCCTTCCCCGAAACCACCGTTCAAAATTACCGAGCGCGCGTACCGCAATAATCAGTGTTCGAATTGATGAAATAAAAAGAATAGTGACTCTTATAGAAAAAAAAAAAAAAAAACTTATTTACGTTCAATGATTATTGAACTCGGCCCGACCCGCGGGGGGCTTTCACCGCCTCACGCACCAGTTTTCAAACGTAATTCGGCGATTCGTGATTTCCGAAAACAAACACTGTCCTACCGCAGGCCAACGGTGGCTCAAACGTACAGTACTATACGACAGATTTATCATTCGTAGATCCCAATACGATGGTTACTAAATAAACGGCGGTTACAGAAGTCTCGCTACAATTATCAACGTTACACGCGAATAACTACACACTGTTGTCTCGTTGCTGCGATAATTTTTTGATTTTCTTCAAGCATTAACTAACTGTTTGGAAACCCGTTGAAATAACGTCGGGAAAACTTGTAACCGGTAACATTTACTATTTCTACTTTGTAGACATTCTGTTCAGTTGTTCAACGAATAATAATGGACACCGTAGAGGTCAGAAATTCCGCCGAACGCTTTTATAGGCCGGCATACTTTTATAGTGCGCTATATAATGTACGGACACTTTGCGGACGCGTGCGGTACCTGGTACTAGGATACTCACTCCGCCGCTGCGCGCCATGCGTTCCGCTTCAAACAAACAGTAGAGGCGTACGCTTACGTTTCCGAGAGATTATCCGAGACACTCCGTATCTCCCCCCCCCCTCCCAAATACGTCGCCCCTCAAAATTCGAACGCTGGCAATGCGAATGGGGGGGCACCCTGCGTACGGTGCAACATCCGCGGCCATGTTATTTTATTTGCCTAACGGCGGCGGCGGCGACGTTGTTTCGACGTTTTCTATCGCCACTGCGGCTCCGCGGTACGCGCAAAATAATCGCTTTCGTTGCGGTTTTGATCGATGTTATTAGCGTCGGCGGCGGATAGGGTCGGGCGATAAGGTATGGTATTGTTATTATTGTAATGATATTGGCGGGCGTCCGAGCGCGCGCGGCGACGGCTGCGGCGGGGCGGCGGTGGCGGCGGCGGCGGGTCGGACGGAGGTGGGCGCAGGAGGAGTTTTCGCGCCGCCCATTCGCCGCGGTGTCCGGCGGCCGGGGGAGTGGTCTCGGGGCGTCGCCGAAAAACCCATTGTGCGTCGGACGACGGCGGCGGCGGCGGAGGGGACGACACGAGCGCACGCACACGCGCGCACACCGCACGCACACGCCCGCAGCGCGGACACGGCGCGGCCGAACACACGCGCAGGGGCCCGGCGAGCAGGCGCACAACGCGAATTCGTAATAGGTGCGGACGCCGCCGCCGCCGCCGCCGCCGTCGCGGCCGCCGACGACGGCTGCACGGTCGCGGCTCACTCATACACGAGACCGGCCGCCGGTTCGTTTGTTGTCACCGCGGCGCGCGTGTCCGTAACCGACGCAGTTTTGTTGTCTCGTTCCGTCGTCGTCGTCCGCCCGAACTTTCCGCGTAACAGTTGTACCGCCGGCCGCAGACGCGACATTGACGACAACGGCTCTCGAGCATAATAGAGCGTGGTTTTTATTTTATTTTTTTTTTTTTTTGTCCGACGGGCGGCCACGGCAATACGTTGTACGTTAATAACAAGTAACGATAATAGTAGGAAAAAAAAAAAAAAACACAACGACGACGAAGGCGATTTTTTTTTTTTAAAAAACTCTATAAAATCGCGTCGAAAGTCGCGGCGCGCGGGACCTCGTGATAACCGTGACCGAAACACTATCGTCGTCGCCGCCGCCGCCGTCCGGGCCCGCGTCGGGTCAGACATCGTCCACTTTATGGTGCCGGCGATGGAACAGAATTTCACTCTGCGGCCGTGCGCCACGGACTTTTCGGTGGCCGCCATACTGGCGCGACGCGATCAGGGCGCCGTGGCCGCCGCGGCAGCGGCCGCGGTCGCCGGCAAACGGCCCGCCTCGGACGACGAGGACGCCAACGCCGCAGCAGCAGCAGCAGCAGCGGCCGCCGCCGCCGCCGCCGCGCTGGTGCAATCGCCGACCCCGTCGCCGCCGGACCACCGTGCGGGTCACAATCATCTCCGGCATCACCACCACAACAATCACCACCATCACCACCATCATAATCATCATCACCGACGCCGTCACCACAATCAGCAGACGTTCGCCGCCGCCACCGCCACTTCAGCCGTCACGACCGTCGACGACGACGAAGGTGAGAACGCCGCGAACGCGCGCGACCAACGTTTTTTTTCTTTTTTTTTTTTCTAATAATCCTACCGTGCCGTACACGCACACGCGTCGCACGGTAAACACTGTAAAGCAATAAAGATAATTCGATAATTCGCGTATCGTAATCGCCGCACGGCACTCGAGACGCGAAAACGCGCGCGTACAGTACGGGGCCCGGCGATCTCCCGTTTTATCGGTCGCGGCGCTCCGGCGAACCCCGCGGCCGCGCTCCGTACGCGCGCGGAGCGTGCTCCGTGGTTGCGCAACGCGACGACGATCGCGGACCGTGTGTGTTTCGAGTGTTTTTCGATACCGCCGGGACGCGCTCGAGTGTTACAATAACCGATAACGCGCGCCGGTAATACCGGGGGGCCGCATTTACCGGATTACGACTTAGACCGGCTTACCGATTACGGCGTTCGGCCGTCCGCAGACGGCCGCCGCGTCGCGAGCGGATGACGTACGGCACCGGCGTAACATCGCACTCGATCGAATCAATTGACAACGATTTCGCACGTTCGCGATTATAATTTCCAACCGCCGTTTCGCCCCTCCCCCCCCCCCCC